GAAGGGTTTGGTTAACGTGAAGTCGGTATTAAATAGTTTATCTGTATAGGATTTGAGTTTCTCTTAAAACTTTAGTGTTGATGTTCTAATTGTTCAAGCTCTCGTGAGTGTTGAAAATTAGAGTAGCGCAGCGGAAGCGGGGTAGTTCTATTGTTTAGTATTGTTGTGAAGAAAATTCTCTTGTTTATGTGAAAATTTTAGGTAGGCTTAGTAACGGCCCTGTTTGGAGTTGGTGAAATTCCTGGGGCGTTACAGTTGGTATCAAAGCCAGGTTGTTCCTGTAGACTAGCCTAGATCCTAGGTCATTTAGTGTCATGGTCTTCCTTGGTCTCCTCTCCATCACCAGGTACGTGAGCTTGTTATCTTACGATTGGTTATTTACTTATAGACTTGTGATACTCTTAAAATTTACCGACAGCTGGGAATCTGTCATCAGTTCAAGTACAAATCAGGAAAATCTGTCATCAGTTCAAGTACAAATCAGGAGAATCTGTCATCAGTTCAAGTACAAATCAGGAGAATCTGTCATCAGTTCAAGTACAACAGCTGAGAAGTAGAGGAAATGAAAAAGGGAACAACTCAGTGAGGTGTTCAACAGACTGTCAGTTTCGAGTCCCAGTTGTCAGGCGGATTAACGAGCTGATGAGGTCGATGGTGCGATCTCTAGAGCGGCAACGAACTTGGGTGGGAGTGTCAAGTCATCAGATGGAAAATCTTTCTTCAGGAGTCGTTGGGTGCGAGTCAAGAAGGAAACGTCGGAGACCACTTAGTTCGAGTGGGAGCACGTGGCTGTGTCTCTAACGTCTGGGAGACAAAACCATGAAGGATTGCTCAGTCTCAGAGCAATCACATATGGCCATAAAACCTCAGAAGCCGAAAAACATATCCTTATGTTAACCCTATTTTTGTAAACATAAGGTCTTCAGTCGTGGGGTGAATTTTTGTGGTGTTGTTGCATCAAGAGTAAAAAAGTGGCGGCAGTGGTGTTTTCGTTGGCAAAGAAAGAGAAGAGAAAAGAGGTTTGTAGAGCATTGTCAGCAACCTGTTCTCTTGAGGTTAGTGAGGTTTTTCGTTCTGTATTCCTAAGTATATATTGGTGTAGTTCTTAGAAGCTAGTTGGCCATTGTTGTGGCATCTAGAGAGAGCTTTCTAGAGCGTTTGTAAGGTCCATTGTATTTATCTCAATATCATAGTAGAACCCGTTGTCGCGAAAGACTGGACGTAACTCATAGTTGGGGTGAACCAGTCTAAATTGCTTGTGTCGTTTGTGTGCTTTTCTCTATATCTCCTATTATTGTGATTGATTGTGTTTTTCACTAACGAACTGTGGAAGAGAAAAATATTATTGGTAAGTTAAATTTTCCCAACACTCACAAAAACAATATTGACATAACTTTTTTTTTTTTTTTTGGAGAGAATGAAAAGTTTGATAGCAATATAATTGAAGAAGAAAAATATTGTTTTTTCTTTGATAATTAGTGTGAGGAGGAAAATGAATTTGGTAGCTTTAAATATAATTTCGAGGATTAAATTTTATCATTTGATGAAGGGTAAAATGGATGAAAGGTGGACATCAGAAGTAGAGATAAAAAAGTAATAAATAAATATTGTGAAGATTGTGAGAAATCCGTGGATATTGAGAAAATTTGTGATTTGCGACAGATTTGTGAGAATAAATGAAAATTGAGGAAATGAAAGTAAAATTTAAAAAATCTTATATTCTTAATTTATTTGAATATGCCAATGTGTTTCTACATGATTTGTCCATATCATTCATCACATTATTAAAATGGTTGATGTCCATGTTATTACCCCATCAGCTCGATATTAGCATAATTTGACTATTAGATGCCACATGATTTCAGCAAAATACCACGTCACCTGCCATGTGTCAGCATAATTTGATTATTTTTTAATATCAACGGACACATCTAAAGTTTCTTTTTCTCTTTCTTAATTTTATTTCATTTCCTTAGCTTTTTTTTCGTTTCTTTTTTTTTTCTTTCCTTTTGTTTCTTGCTCTCCTTAAATCCATCGTGCCACATGTTGGACTTCTTATTGGTCAATTGGCGTGACTCAGAGCCATGTCATCTACCATGTGTGCTTTTTCTTCCCTAATTTATTTTGATCACAACTTCTTTATTTTAAACTTCACTTTGAGTGATTCGAAAGGCATTGGATTCGTCTTTCTGAGCTCTACGCTATAGACACTATGAAACACTAAAACCATCAATAAATTAAAGTATAATGGTATGATTGAAGCTCGTAAAGCTAACAATCGTTATATTATTATAGATATTAGCAATATCGAAATTTACAATAACACAAAAATAGGTATTGTTGTTCCATTTCGCAAGTGTACAAATCGTCATAAGTAATAAAGTGATAACTAAAGTATCATCTCCATAGGGAATGAATTATTACTAATTATCAAATTTTCAACTTCAATCTTATCTAAACTCCGAAAGATCAAATGGAGTGAATAGAGAAATAATTCTAAAAACTAGTTCAATAAAATAAGAAGATAACACAACTATCAATAAACAAGAGCAAATTCGAGGGAATTAAACTCTACAGCATGACTTCACCGATATCGCATTTTACTTATTCCTCCAATTTTAATCAAAACTTTTCTAAACCAAGGTTGTTGGCGGATTCTACCCGATTTACTCGATATTCTTTCTCGAGCAATAACGATTTTCTTCAAAAAGTAGAGTAACTGTATCTCTATGACTACTCCGACAATTCAAATAATTAAGTACACAGAACCCAAAATATGTTATAAAATTTACAAGAATATCTCTATCTCTTGCTTTAATTAGGGTGAACTATTCAAGTCTACTCAATAATCTTGTTTTTCAACCTCGATTATAAATCAACGTAAAGAATAGCCAAATCTAAACAATGCATTATGAACAGAAAAATTCTCACAGCCAACAAAATCTTAGAAGAGAATTCGACTAATTGGAAGAGTAAAGTTTGATAAACGGCTACATAAATGCTCTCGAAAAGTGTATTTTGCTCATGCTTGAAACCAAAAAGAAAATCTTAATCAACAATATTTGAAGGAAGTTCAAGCAAAAGAGAGAAAGAAGAAGAGAAAAGAAAATAAATCTAGCAATCTCTCGAGTCTCCGTTATTTGCATTCCTTCCACTCCTCTCAAAATCTCTACTGTTCTCTTAAAAGTTGACTTTTCATATAAAATCCCTCTGCTTTCTCTCGTTTGTGACTAAGGCTAGAATGTGATTTTTAACCAAATTATTTCTGTAGCGCCTAGGCACCTAATTTTTGTGTCGAGGTGCTCAAAACCATGTATGTAAAATCACCGCTTCAACTTTGTAGCACCCAGGGGGGCCCAACATTCTGCCTTTTTGCCCATTTTTCAGCGCCTAGGTGCCACTTGCAAGCACTCAAGTGCCCAACATGTTGGAGTTTGGCTCACCTTGCTTCTTTATTTGCTCTTTTTTTTCTCTTCTTCAACTCAAGTCCTGCAAAAGAAAGAAATACTAAAAACAATTGAAATACCCAAAGAAAATGTCTATAGAAATGATCAAATAACTCAAAAATACCATAAATTACTAGACCCAAAATTCACTTATCAAGTATATATCTAGAGGTAGAAGAAGAGAGAATAAAATACGGCGGAATGGACAATAACACAGGGGTAGGGTATAAAGCTAGAAATATAAGAGAACAAATGTGGCAAACAAATACAGTGTATATAACTGGAAGTAGTAGAGAAATAATACGGCGAACAAATACAGAGAATATAGCTAGAAATAGAAGAGAGAAAATGTGTATTCTCAAGCTGAAACAGATACGATTACAGATTGCAGAAAGTAGTTGGCTCGAATATTGCTCGACCTTGATGGTAGTGTTTCCAAGTCTTATTACATTTTTTTATTAATGTTTATTCTTTAAGATTTTTTTAGTATTATTTTTTAATAGTAATTTTTGTTGTACTTTAAATTTTGTTCTAAGTAGGATTCTCTTATAAAAATATGTCGGAAAAAACAAGGTACCATTGTTAAGATCGTTCTTGGTTCGTTGATTTTGGCCATATCCCATTTTTTAACTGGAGGCTTGTTTGAACTTTTGGACTCTAATGTCATTTTAATATTCTGGATTCCATCTCAAAATTAATTGACAATGACAGAAATAATTCATATTTATTATAAACCTAAGTAAGATCTCACCTTACACAAATAAAAGTCGAGCAAAATTTAGGTTCGTCATTCGTACTCTAATTTAATGAGACAAACAAAGCTTAATAATTAAAATGGGCCCAATCGTAGTTCAGAGGAAACTCGCGACCTTCCAATATTTCCGAGAAAAAGAGGATGGGGACTCCTTACCAATGTTCAGCTCTTACGTGAAAATTGTTGGCGTGTTCTAGTAAATCTTTGGGTTTTTAACACGTGGAAGATGAATAGAATAAATAAGTAAAACAAATTCATTTTAATATAATTATAATTTTATTTAAAAGAAAATAATATAATTATAAATTTCAAATTACTTTTACCAATAAATTAAATCATCATTTTGATAATTAAATGGGTAGCAAATAATTTCTTAAGCAATTATTCATGTTAGCATTGGAAAAGGGTGTCATATTTTTGTTAATATTTTGAAACTATTAGCTATATTATTTTTTTTATTTTATAGAAAAATATTTAGAATAACAAAAAGAAATCACCTACTTTTGGTACATCAGCATCTTTCTCTCTCTTTCTCTCTCTGTTTTCCTTTTTTTTTTTTTTATAATTTGATGAAGTAATAATTATATATAATATAGGAAAAATGATATTAATTTTGGTGGCAGAAATCAATTGATGATTCTCTAAGCTATGAAAAGTGAGCGATCAATATCACTATGAAAGCTGCCCCTCTCCCTCCACATTACACCAACCAAGTTTGGTTTTCAATTCTCATTCCTAACTAACAACATTCAATAAATAACCAACATACCATTTTCTTCTTCTAATTCCCATCTTCAACTATGGCTTCCAAATCATGGCCTGTTTTGGTCATCTGGCTCGCCTTTCTATTCTATCCGGCGATCGGCCAAGCACCGGCTCAGCCACCGAGCTTGCCGACCACATCGTCACCGCCATCGACTCTAGCACCAACCGTAGCCACTCCGCCACCCTTGAGCTCGACACCACCCCCTAATGTTGTTGCACCATCTACAAGCCCGACGGTCCCACCACCCCAACCACCGCAAATTACGCCCGTCTCGACTCCATCGCTACCTCCGACATTGCCACCTCCACCAGCTACTCCTCCGCCATTGCCACCTCCTCCCCAGGTCTCTCCAACTCCGGCACAGGCACCGTCGGTGCCTGCTCCCACACTAGCGCCATTGCCGAATCCACCAGCACCATTGCCTCCACCGCCAACGCCAGCACCAGTTGCGGCACCGGTGCTAGTCCCGTCGCCTGCACCGGCTCCAGGAAAGCATAGGCACAAGAGGCACCACAAACATAAAAAACATCCAGCCCCGGCCCCGGCCCCAACCATGCCAAGTCCACCGGCACCACCTACAGTTGTGGATTCACAGGATAGTACAGCTCCGGCCCCATCACCAAATCTGGTATAGTCCATCAATTCAACGCCTAAATACAAAGGATTATAATTTTTCATAAAGCGTACCCACTAAAAAATGATAATATCAGATCTTTAAAATTAATAAAAAATGAGATGAAATCTGAATATTCTTTTTAATAGAATAAATGTGGGATAGAGAATTGAATTTCTGGGGATTGAACCTCCGATCTTTAGGAATGAACAAAATGTCTCGAAGGTTGGGCTAAGTTCAAGTTGGCAGCAGATTTGAATTTTTAACTCTTCAATAATTCGAAGAAATAAATGAAAATAAGAGAAAAAAATTAAAGAGATGAAATGGAAATTAAAGGAGTAGTCGAACATAATTAACTAAATTAAAGTTGAATCTTGAATTGTATTTCTAATACCACATTTGTTAATCTTAATACCGCAGAATGGAGGAGACCCAATGGAAGGCAAGGTGAGAACATGGACGAGAGTTGTATTGGGATTCATTATTCTGGTTGCTACCACAAGCCTCAATTTCTAGTTTTGAAGGCACGATTATTCACAAAATTATAGAGTTTGGCCCAGAAACTGAGATATTTTATTTTTCATATATATCATTTTTTTAAATGATTGATGTTTGAATAATAATGAATTTTTTATTTTTATTTTTTTAGTATCATAATCTTCCACGTTTTTATTATTATTTTTTTATGGCTTATCCCCATTAATCTTAATGATTTTCATATTAATTGGATGTGCTAATCTATGCGGTACCACATAACTTTCTTAAATTCTACCCGGAAGAATAAATTTTAGCCACATATTATAAATATAGGCCTCTAATTAAACATACTTTTATATTCGATCTAAACATAGATTATTCAAACTTGAGTTAAACCGTCTTGATAATTGTGACACTTTTAAGTGTTGTTTGGATCCAAGACTTCTTGTACCCTACAACAAAATCTACATTGTTGGGTGCATAAAACTCTTGTGAACGAGACTTTCCACTCAAAATAATTTTGACACCTTGTACTAATTAATCTCATGTATTGAAACAATAAAATTGCATTGAACTCTACAAACTAACCTCTCATATGCTACAAACTAAACTAATTTTTAGGTTTTAGCTATCCTATTTTGATTGACCCTAAATTTTTAGGTCAATTATTTTATTAGTTCCAAATGATATGAATTCACTATTTTATTAGTTTCAAATGGTATGAATTCTTAGTGAATTGATATTAGAACTCTTTCGACATATAAACTCCTAATTTACCAAACACTAGAACAAATACTCGACTTGAGATCAACTTTAAGGTTTATTAACAAATTGAGCCAGATAAAAAAAAGGCAAAATAGGTAAGAAAATACTCTCGGATGTGTTTCTCACATTAAGGATTGTTGATCAGAAGTAAGATTTAGAACAAGAGACCATTGTTGTGCATGCCGTGGAAGAACGGCTCGCGCCCCTTGCCGCGTACACCTGGCACTCCTGCAACCTCTCACGCCATGCCCATGCTGCACGCCCCTGAAGCCTATCGCTCATACTGCCTGCCATCCACACTCGTGCGCGCAACCCGACTCCTGCCGCCCATGCCGTGCGCCAACCCCTGCCAGCCACACCTGCACACCTGCCATGCCGCTAGCCCAACCCATGCGGGCTAGCGCATGAACATATTTCCTTAATTTGTTCATTTATTGTTATTCTCTTTAGATTTCGTTTGGGAATTATTTTCTTTTAAGTTTTAGGTAAGTGTGATTTTGTTTTTGAGAAGATTTTTGCATTATTTTTATTTACCTTAGATTTATAATTATTTTTTTTTTTGTAAATTTTTGTAAAAGACCTTTTGAGTCTTAGCCTATAAATAAGTATCCACTTTGTAGTTTGAACAGATTACTGAAGTTGACTTTCGAAATAGAGAGGAGTTTCTCCCAAACCTTGCCTTGGCACAAACCTCCTCCTCCCTCCAAATTGTGTTATCCGTTGTGTGGTTGAACTTAGGATGCATCATTACCGGAGCATGCTTGTTTGGTTGGTCGTCAAAACGATGGAGTGTTTCCGACCTCAAGTATAGTGAGTATGTCTACTCGTAGTTTTGACTGCAAAGGTAATCCATCTAACCTTTCTCTTTCGGGTTGAACTAACTATGTGATTGGATTCAAGTGGCTAGAGGCTCTAGTAGTCCACATGCTTGGGTTGTCGTGTATCAAAAGGCCCACCAAATTTGAATAAATCATGAAATGGAAAGTAAAAATGTGATTCCATTTTAATTGCTCATATGCTTTTATGCATAAAAACAGCCAAATATATCATCTAAAAGATCATCTACAACAGAGCTAAAAAAAAAAATAAAAAACTCACAGCCAATATCCATAGATGAGGTAAATATGTCTCTTCTCAATACATTTATATATAAAGTATTGAAGCTATACCTCTTCCTCGCTTTCTAAAGTGATTGTGCATGGTTCATTTGAACGCTCTAATGTTATACGCCTTTCAATCTTTCACTTAATCGTCGAGATTTTAATCTTTCACTTGGTTCATGGTTTCTCTATCTTTTGGACTTTGGTTTTACTCCTCTTGTCAGACATGTTCTAGGTATTTGCATTTTCAAAACATCCTCGCAAGAATAAAATATCCTTGCAGGACTATTTCTTAATGTCTATATCGGTGATTTGTTCTCTTCATTTTGATATGTCTTTATGACTATTTTTGGATTGCATTTGTGGTTTTCCTGCTGAATTGTTTATGTTTGGTGTGATTTAATTCTTCCCAAATGATTTATTATGAATTTTAGAATTTTTAATGTTTCGTGTGTATGCTTCTATAGATATTATGATTATATAGTTTAATCATTATTCCCTTTTCAAAACCAAAATAAATAAGTTAAACAATGTATAAATATATCTATAAACTTCATTTTTTAGTATAATATGTTGGGAGAGGATTCAAACTCACAACCTCTTAGTTTGAGGTATATGTCAATTACCGCTGAACTATCTGGCTTTCGCATCTATAAACTTCATTTTAATAGCTAAACCTTACAAAATATCATGTCTCCAACCTCAAAGTTCAAATCTTTTCTTCAAACATGACCACCTTACTAAGCCTATAGCACACTATTACAAAATTAGTGTGCAAGCTAACCACAATTGAGAAGTTGAATATGCAAGTTGCCACGTAAATCTATATAGACTCAAGTTTTGGAAACTCGTTTTCCATACTACCTAACTAATGTTTTCAAATCACAGACCCATAAGCAGATTTTATGCACTCTATTATTTTGTAGTGCGTTTTTGTCCCTATATTTATGATAAATTTGTCTAATATGTGGTGAATCTCGGTGTTATAGATTAGATTGGACGAGCATGAGACAGGAGTTGGGTCGGAGGAGCGGGCTCACCACGTAAGGAGGTTGAAACCCGGTGACCTGGGCCAACCATAGCCGACTAGGCCTCGGTGCCGAGGAGTTCTCGGCCCCCGATCGAGAACCCCGATGGTTCTCTCCCGACCCCGCACAGCCCGATACGAGTTTACCTTGTCTCAACCCTAGATTCAACATTGGGCCACTTACAAAACACATGGGCCTAGAAGTCCAGATCTCGTAGGCACACTAGGATTCAACTTTGGTAATTCCTAAACGGATTAGGGTTTGACTTCTATAAATAGAAGGATAAGCCAAATGCTAGAGGTATAAAGAAAATGATAATAATAGTCAAAATATTTCCCGTTAGGACTTGCCATTTCCCATTTATAGCGAGGTTGAAGCAGTTCTTCTCATCAAAACATATCTCAACTGAAATAACGTGGCATAAGGAAAAAAGCGGGTAGAAACGGAGGGTGTGCTATGACATCCAACTGATGTTGTGGTTGAAAGTATTTGGATTGTGAATTCCATCAATTTGCTTTAGGAAACACGATTGTCATTAGCTTCTGGTGGCTTCAATCCATCCAATAGTATATGGAATAATCCATCCAATACAGTATGTGGCTAGTTATACTTATTCCATATAATTTGCCACCTTGGAATTGCATGAAAGAATCTTATTTTTGTATGTCTATACTTATACCAAGACCTAAGTCTCTTAGAAAAATAAATTAACATAAATTTGCAACCATTGATTGAAGAGATGAAAAAGTTGTAGACTAAGGGTGTGCACACATATGATTGTTTCAATGGAAAATATTTTAAGCTACATGCAGCTTTGCTATGGACTATTGATAACATCCCTGCATATGGCGATTTGTCTAGATAGAGTACCAAAAGTTATCAAGCGTATCCTATTTGTAAATAAGATACATCATTGTTCATAATACAGGGTAAAATTTCCTTCATAGGACATCGGTGTTATCTTCTAGAAAAGCACAGTTAACGTAAGAGTAAACATCATGACAGAAAGATTGAACGTAAGCTTCCTCCGACCGTAATGATCGGAGATGAGTTTCTTCACGAAATAAATTATTTGAACTTTCTAGTTTTTGGTAAGCATCCAACAGATATAAAAAAGAATCAAAAGCGTGATCTAAATTGGATGAAAAAAGAGTATATTATTTAAACTTCCTATATTGGTCAAAACTCTTGTTAAGGCATTAGCCATATGAAATGCATATAGGAAAAATGTATGTTACAACTTAATCGGCACTTTGTTAAGCATTGAAGGTAAATCTAAAGATACCACAAATGCTCGTTTGGATCTACAAGATTAAACAAACAAAAATAGTTACACTTACAGAAAAAAAGGAAATAAGTTTTTGAAACATGAAGCTACGTACACACTTACAAGAAGAGAACGGATAAAATTTTTTAAGTTCTTGAAAATCGTTAAATTTCCGATATGTTTGTTTCAAATACATCTCGATGTGTCAAAGTTGACAATGGAAAAATATGGGGTTTGAAACCCACGATTCTCACATTTTACTCAAACGACTTCTTCCTTTTGGTATTTTAGCATACATACAAAAAGATGTGAATACATCTATTGTTGAACAATGTAAATTCTTTCATGATTTATGTGCAAAGATAATATGTAGAAGTGATTTGGATTGTTTAGAAGCGGATACTGTACTCGTACTTTGTTAGTTAGAGAAAATATTCACACCATGATTTTTTGATGTCATGGTTGTTGGGTTTTATGCCCTAAACTCGTGGTTTGTAAACATAAAACAAATATTCATTCAATAAAKTTGTTATTGATGTTTCTGTTAAAATTGCATTAACCCAAATCCAATAAACTAATATCCGAGATTATATCATGTAACTGGAACAGTATATAACATATATACAATATATATTTAATATACAACGTATATATATACAGTATATATTCGATATATAGGTGGATAATGTTCTAGTAGTAACCTAAAGGGTTTATAGAATGTGGATAAGGTTGGGTACCTTATCCTGGTAACACTATGGATACAACCCACTTTGTAATAGTTACAAATGACATGATCCAGGTCGTTCGTGTAAAGACATGCGAATGGGGGTATCTGACTGGGCGTTTATGCTGAACGCACGCACTAAGCGTGGTAACAATTGTATAGATGCAAGCGCACACCTGTCAGAGTAATATAAAATGGATGG